CACACAGGCAGACGTTATGCACACAATGACAATGGCCTGGCAATCGTGCGTGGGCGAGTCCTCCGGCTGTGCCCCGTTGTCCACCTGGCATCCTCCTCTCCAGTTTCGTCATATTTATGCCATTTTATGGGCCATGTACAATTTTATTGTTTCACTTTTCAATGCAATGTACGTCTGATGTATGAATGTCCAATGCAAAGCAGCACTGAGAGCCACTGGCTCAGCCAGCGTCGAGCTCAACAATGCGCCCAACTCTGATAAGGTAATTTTCGTTTGCCATCTGCTCGACTGCTCGACTGTTCATCTGCTCAGAAGACGAAAGGTTTTACACCTTTTTCATCAACTCTCGTGCCGTGTTCCAACTCAATCTTAATGACATACAGAATGAAGAGGGAAATTTTAAATTTTATGCTTAGCATTAAACTCTTTCAATACTCGCTCATGGAACGAAGGAGTATATAGTGGGTGTATGGCTCCCTGCTGCTGTCCGTATTGATGTAGACGCGAAATTTGTTACATATTTACTGCTACATATATATTATATAAATATATATATATCACTTATGAGAGCTGCTTGATAAATATGTCTCAAATTGGTAAAGGATTTCATCAGGTAATTCGTTAAGTATTCTTTGCTATATCAGAACACTCGACAGACTTAAGCTGATTACTAGTTCAAATGGCAGGTTGTATTGTATATTGTAACAGCTAAGTGTTATCGATAACTCTAAAAGCTGCCGAAATACAGATATCGGCAATAGTATCACCCTTATCTGGTCACCCTCGACACAGGCAAAAGCTCAATAAAGTAAACAATTTTGTCTCAAATATGGTCAAATGGGATTTGCTTTGTTAATTTACATTTAGTTTTATTTGATATAAACTACCACAAGATACAAATGGTTGCATAAATTGCAGTTAAGTTGCAGTTGTGGTTCGTTAGGATCTTAATTAGGTTGAATTTCAAGCGACTGTATACTTCAGACAAATTCTAATTGTGGTTCACTTTATTTGCCGACTCTTTGTGCGCTTCGGCATTACCCACCGCCCCACACACACCCACCCAAACACACACGCACACACACACTGTTGCATCTTGTTGCCATAGTTTTATCCCCGTCTTTGCTCCCTTTTGGCACAGCTTTTGTCAACGTATGCATACACTCGGCTGGCCATATGGTTACACATTTGCCCTCGTTTTGACTGTCGCTAGGTGTTGGGCTTACCTTTGAGGGCTTCAGCTGGCATATGGACTTCGGCCTTGCCCACAACTATGTGGCCATATTCAAACCTGATCCAGCAGCAACTTCTCGTAAAATTTATTTGACTGAAACAACAACAGGAATCAATGCTGTTACCGAAAACATCAGAATACAGTATTGAAAGCAGTTATTTGTCTTTTATTTTATTTATTTACTTTAATTTTGTGTTTTCCTATTCTCGCTCGTTTCCATGAACTTCAGGAAATGTGGAAAATTCTAAAGTCTTAGGATGGATTGAAATAGTATGTGGATGTGCAAGGGTATAATAACAATGATGATGATGATGACATCGATACGCTTACTGCCAACAAAGATAGAATAAAGGCGGTATTTCGAGCCAGCCATCTAGGGTACCCCAATCCAATACAAATAATCAAAGCTTGAAGAATGCTTATATCCAAAGGAGCAAAAAATGGTTAACAATGAACAAACGTACTTGGAGCAACTGTATGTTGCTTTGATTCTTTTATGCCGCATTTCAATTTTGTAAAGTAAATTTCATTTAATGTAACTAAAATAAAATCTTGAGCCTAAAAGCTTTAAGAAATTCTTATATATTTTTAGCTGAGTGAAAATGGCACCTTCCACTCGAATTTTATACTTCAATACTCGAACAAATAGCGAATTCCCGCTGCGTTAACTGTGCTTTTTCAAAATTCCAATTTCTAGTCGCTTTCTGTTCGTCCACTGATAATCACAACGAACCTATTCGAATGGCTTCAATAGCCATCCCACTCTCACTCAGCAACATCGGCGACTTCGTCCAGCAACAGCTCTCTTTGTCTTTCTCTTTCTCACAAAGAGGAGAAACGAGACACTAAGACGCAAACTCACTCGGATAATATTTTTACAGCAACTCTATACAAGCTATCAGCGTGACACTTGTATTGGGAAACTGAGGAGACACATTCAGGTGTTAATTTATATCTATAATATAATTTATTATATATTCTAATATTAATTAATGGTCAATGTCAATGGTAATATATTTGTAAAAAGAAAAGTATTGCGCACGGTGCATAGCCAAGCGACCCGATTGCTCAAACCCGAACTGGAAAATTGATGAATGGGTGGCAAGTTATTTAAATCTTTGCCAACCCAAATCAGACCATCACATGAGATGTTTATTTGCTTAGGTTGTGTCTTGTATGGCAAATAATGTGACAGCTGAGGGCACCGTTGGCCGACCTGACATTCAATGGAACTAAGCGAGATTGCTGCAAGGCAGCCAAGAACAACACTTCAGGCTTATGTGTCTTAAGTCGTGCAGTCGACCAATTGGCTAGCAGAACTTGTGTTTTATCTGTGGGTCTCATTATTTGCGACCGGATATCCTTATGCACACACACACACACATGCGCAGGGCAGGATGTGTGTGTGTGTGCGGGCGGGCGGGGACAAAGTTTACGAAAATTGAAATGAATCGTCCTGAGTCAGCTGCGCAATATGTGCGCCTGCAATGGCATCCTTTAAATAGAACCGGAATAGTTTGACCGTCAGACAAAGGGTCCTTGCGATTATCTCCTATCCATTGCCCCTAGCCATGCATGTGTGCGTATCAGTTGCGTGCGAGTGAGCCTTGAGCCTCGAGCGCAATTATTTATGCATTTGAAAGCCTTGTTATGCCCAACACACTTCAATTAGCTCATAAAGCACTGCCAGAGGCAGCTGCTAAAAACAATTAGACAGACCCAGTTAAATTTTAATTGCATTCAATTTATGTCTCATTTGGATATATCATTTGTCAAATGTATTCAACTTGGATCCTTTGTGCTACCCATTAAAATATATTTTATGCTTATTTACCCACTCTCTCTCCCTCTTCCCCCCTCTCTCTCTCTCTCTCTCTCTCTCTGTCTCGCTGTGATTTTAGAACATGATTTAATTACGCGAATCGTTGAAATGCAATGACTGAGTCTAAGCACACAGTGCAGCAATTATTCCCATAATTGTTTCGAAAAAGATGGCCGTAATGAGCTCCTGCTAGCTTTTCAAGAAGCTTTCAGCTTTATGGCATATTTTAATTACTAATTAAAGCTCGCTCCACCATTACTTTTATCACTTCAAAGAGCTTTGCAGCAATTCCTTGTTGAGTTCATTCGTTTATGAACATGTTAGTTGGCATTTCAGTTTTATGACGAATCTAGCTATTGGCTTTGTTTCACTGAGAAAAGTTAATTTATACCAGCTTAAAAGGTTATTTTTCACAATTATTGTTTAATTGATTAATTACAGATTAGAGTGTTGCTACCTTTTAGACAACTTAATTAGGCCATTGTATGTTAGGTCAACAGCCAACACATCTTTGGGCTGCGTTTGGCTGAGCATCTAGTTTCTTTAGGTATTTAATGTTCCCACCTCTTCGACGATGTCTGGAACTTTTGGCCACTTGAGCTCTGTCTGGATGTATCTCTAATCTTTCCAGTGATATTCCTGGGCCAAGCCATGTACCTGAATGGCATTGAGGAGGCCAGCAGCTAAGATACTCCTTGATTCAGTCAAGTGACATGGCCTTTTGAAGGTGAGGCCGCTAACGAAAGGGCCAACTCGACATAGGGCTAAGTCAATGTGTATACATAAAGCGCTATACCCAACAGTCTATGTTCTCATGTAGCCATATTCTAACTTACTTTTAATTTATCGGGACCGTTAGAACTTAACAGATCCTAATTAGGTAACATCATTTTTAGCAAGTCAGCCAATTGCAGTCAATTACATAAGCTTTTAGCATTTTAAGCTGTCTGATGCTGACTTTTATGGGCCTTGATGGCCTGGCAGATGCCTGCAGCAGCTACTTGCGAAGTTGTTCTTAACATAAATTGAAGGATTACATGAATTAGCTACAGCTAGAGCTAGAACAGAGTCACATCTGAGCTGAGCCGCAGACGCACTCGCAATGCATCGATACTTTGCCTAATGTATGACATTAAAGTGACATTAAAGTTCCATAAAAGAAACAAAATTTATATGGCAGGCTGTAAAAATGGCCCAGTCGACAGCCAAACACGCACACGCACACATACACAGACATTTGCTTGAGCAACGTTTGGTTATTTGTTTATTTGACTTTAGGCTGCCTCAATTTATGTGTGTGTGTGTATGTGTGTGTGGCATTAAATAACAGCGTTTTTTGCGCTTCAAGAACTTTGCCAGCCCTTCAGCCCCTTTTCGCCCACTTCCACGTATAGATACATTTTTTGCTCAGCCTCCTGCGCCATAAATTATGCTACACTTTATTATTTTGTAAAACAAGCAACATAAAACTTTACCTTTAGCTCAGCGCCAGTTCACGGTCCAGCATACTCATAGATACGTTCGACCCGACCCTTTTTTTATTTTTACACTGTTTGTCCGCAAAATGTCAGTCATAATGGTTTACTTGTTATCAGCAACGGAAACAGTCAGTGTGTGTGGGTGTGTGTGTGTGTGTGGGTGCATGCTCTTTTGCCTATAAATATACATATTAATTGCTATTTCCGGCAAATAACTGACATTTACCGAGCAACAACAAAGAAGTCTGTCCATTTAGAGCAGCAATTCAATTGAATTTTGCTGGCCTGGCGATTCATCTATTTATGCTCAAGCAGGACATAATTACCATAGGGCGCTGCCACAAAATACACATATAACATATATGCATGCCTCTTATTATATATTATATTATTATATATATAGATAATAACTAAGACATTTATTTATTTCTGGCTCTAAGTGCCAACAGTTGAGGAAATACTTCCATTTTTGAGTAAACTTTTCTATCTAAATAACTACCTTAAAGAGTGGTTGCTTACAGCACCAAATCTCTCCTGTCTGTTACGGTAACTCTAACTGTAACTTTAACAGTAACTGTATTCAGATGCACTCGACCAGTCACAGAGCAGCTGCAAAAACTACGCTGCGTTGGCTCAGCCTGCTCGGTGAGCAGTGCTGCCACTTTGGCTATTTTCCCGCCAACCTTGACTTTAAGACACGTGCAATAGCAGCTAGCGGAAAAAAAAAGCATTATAAAATCATGAAGTGGCTTTTTTTAATATATACAAACTTTGCTGGAAGCAACTTACAATATTATAACATTGCAGCCAGAGGGACTCTAAACGTACATTCCCGTTTCAATATTGATTCAATGATACAAACCGGCATAAGCAAGCTTTAAGCAGAAATAACTCAGCTTGAGGCGCCATAGATCATTGTCGATCAACCCCATAGATCATATTTATGTGATCCACTGGGCGTGTCAAATTACTCTGCAAATGTATGATCTATAAACGTTGAAAAAAGTAAATCTAATGGGAATTACTTTGAAGGAACCAAACAAGATATTCATGAATAAATAGCAGCTATAATTTTTGAAAAAATAAACAAAATGAACGAAACTTTTTGACATATCTGTCGATTCCAGCTTGAAAGTTGAAATAAAAACATTTCGCTTTCATTTATTTATGATTTCTAATTAAGATTCTAAGAACTTGCCATATTTTGAGAACTTGCCTACAAAATAATAGACATGTAAAAGACGAGAGAGACAGAGAGAGAGAGAGAGAGGTATTCCAAATATTAATATACCAATATGAAGACACTCTTTTCAATTCGCATCACTTTTTCACACCTGGCCCACTGCCAAGCACTCAATACGAGTACTACACGTGCCCCAACTAGACAACATAACTAAATAGTAAAACGAAAACTAGTTAGAGTTTGCTAAGCGGAAGTGCTCGACTAGGTTATACCGTGCCTGCCACACAGACACAGGTTAGACGAATGGATAGTTCGAGCTAGCTCTTCGCCTTGTGTAGAAGTGCAGATTGTTTATCGGGTCGGCCACGCCCTAAAATAGCATTTGCAATGCGTTCAGCATGTAAAAAGAATAAAAACGAAATCAAGCTTGTGCCACACGTGGCAACTGGGCCCCATGCCAGTCGGGGCAACTTGTATTTATTGTTGAAATTTTGTGACTTTTCTGTTGATGTTATTGCCACTTTTGCAGTTGCTCTTGCTGCTGCTGCTGCTGTTGCTGTTGCTGTCACTTTTTATTTTATTCTTTTGCCCCCGCAATGCGCACAGCGCCTCCGGCTCCGCCTCCTGCCGCTCGACATCCTGTGCTAAATATGTTTCAAAGGAAATTGATTTGCGGCAACAGCAACAAAGGCAGCAGCAGCAGCAGCAATGTGAACAATAACAACAAACAACAAGTCAGAACATCAACAATAAGTACGTAAGACGGCTAAGCTAGGCAAGCATGACCGACTAGCAGTTGCCCTGTATTAGACGATAAGAGTTAGGACAAGCCAGAGCTAAGCTGCTGACTGAAACTGAGGTAAACTAAAGTACAGATCGTGAGACGATTATATGAGACAAACGGATATATTTTATGAATATATATATTATATTTTGGATCGGAGAATTGAATCATAAAGTGATCAATTGTGAGCTTTGATTCTGACTGTGACTACCAACTATCCCTAGCCCTCTTTGAATGTGAGTCTAGTCCTCATCATCACATCAACGAGCACAATACCTTCAATGGTAATCGTCAAGTACAGGGCATAAACAGCTTTATTTTATATAAATTCGCCTGGTGAAATTTCCTCTTGCCAAAAATTGCTCGTCACATTGCAGTTTTGGTGACCCACAGACAGACTAACCGCCCACCCAAGCAGACACACACACACACACACTCTTGACAGTATGCCCCATCAATCCATTGGAACGTTCGCATCATGCATGCCGCCCCGCACTTGCATGCGACAAGAGCCAACTTTTGTGACAGCGACAATACAGAGCCCCCTCTGGCTGCCAGATAGCAGCGCCCATCGGCCTCACTCTGCACAGTCTATAGAATTTATCCGCTGCGCTACTTTTCAACAGAGAAACATAAATTGTTTGGCTAATTGCAAGTGGCTTTCGCTGGAGCAACGGGCACTGCGGAGCTGGGGAAGCGGCAACAAAGGGCCCAACAAGGACCGGCTCGAGAACAAAGGGGCAACTTCGCCAGCTTCAGCGCCTGCTCCTGCTCCATCTCCAGCGCCGGCTTCACATTTAGCTATAGTCACTTTAAGTTTGCAGAGCTCGTCTTTCTCTGCGCGTAATTGGCAGAAAAAACTTGGGCGTTGGGCGAGCAAACTGCTCAACAAGGACAGCACATGGCAGTGATTGGGCAATGGCGATACAGCGCCGTTTTGTCAGACACGAAGATAGTCAGAGGTCACAGATCAGCTCAGCTATGTGTTTATCACTAAATGTTATTCTCCAACATTTAGTGCCCAGTCGCACTACTATTTTAATGAACTCAGCTGCAAAAAAGAGCAGTAAACTGCATGATATAATGCATAGAGAATAAAAATGAAGGGCATGCTGCATTCGGTTGTTTGTTTTAGAAATTCGAATCATTTAATGTGAATTGAACTTAATAATTCTGAACAAATATAGAAATTGCAACTTGCTAACTTCAGCGATTTCGTTGACTTCGATGCGATGTAAATATGTTTTCGCTCAGTAATTCCAAGCTTGATATCTGAACTTGCCTTTGTTATTTAGAAAATATTTATTTCCGTTTAAGTCGACAATTATCTGGCAATGACTGAATCATGCGCTAGTCAACGATACTTTATATACTATATTATATCGATAAATTAAGTTATTTATATCGTATAATTCTATGGCGTAATACCTTTAAATTATTAATGTAATCTGTTTTCTTAGTTGCTCAATTTATGATTGCTTCCTACTGTTGCAGTAGTATTCGTGTGCGCCGAGAGCTTGGCTCTAGTGTAGTAACAATATTATCCGAGTGAGTCTACGCTACACTTTTCTCTTTGTGCTAATTGTCACTGCGCGAAAGAGAGAGACAAAGATATCAGTTGCCGAACATAGTCCCAAGTGTTGCTGAGTGAGAGTGAGATAGCTCTTGAAGCCATGCAAACAGGGTCGTTATGACTGTCAATGGGCGAAGAGAAAGCGACAAGAGCACAAAATTCTAATCAGTTTAGTTTCGTTTTTAAGATTTTCAGTTAATTTGTAATGAGTAGTTAAATTATATGTTAATTTTGCAGAAAATTAAATCATCCGGAGCTGCAACCTACTTCAACAGTTTAGAAACTACAAAGAAAACCGATTTATTATCTATTTTAAAGCAATTCCGCTTTAAATTTTAATGCATTAATCGAGATTTCTGCTGTAATCACTTAATACTACTTAAATGCTAGTTGTTAATTAATTTTTAGCCTCAGTTAATACGCAAATACATTTGAAATGATTTTTCAGCACTTCCTTGAATTGCATATCATTTCAAAATAATGAAATACATACATATTAAATGAAATTGAGTTGGCCTAGAGCATTAAGCCGCTGCTGCTTGCAACTGCCAACTGATGCAAGATTCATTATTTACAGCCACATCACAGTGCGTGTGTGTGTGTGTGTATTCTGCACCAACAGAGCGGATGCAAGTTAATATAGTGTTCATCTACGGGTAGAGAATAAGTTTCTATTAAACCAATTACCGCATATCACGTCGCAAATTCCTTGTCAAATTTGCTTAGAGCTCAGGAATTTCGCAAAGTGCGTGCATATCTGTGATTCGCTTGGCTTTGGCTTTTACGAAATTGAAGTTGAATGCAAATATGAGCACAGGCCCCAAGCATCGTGTGAATGTAAACAGGGCTGCTGCTAATTGCCAAACACGCATATTGATGAATGACAACGAATACTATTATCGCAACAAATATATAACAAATTGTCAACAAAGCGTGCAACAGAATCACACTAGTTCTCTAATTAAAGACTTACGCGTAAGCTAACAAAAAACCGCCACATTTTCATCGCTAAACTGGTGCAGAACGTTGCATACCCTAAAGGAAAACATGTGTCACAGCCACGTTATGATAGAGTATATATAGAGCTATATCTCAAGATTATTAAAAACAAAGAGCGGCTGATGGAGCTAACAAAAATATACAAAATATCAAAATATCTTCTATATTTGTATCTCTTATAATAAGTATAAGGTTATAGAAATATATATTTAAATATATATTTTAAATTTGAAGGGCTAAGGTCAGATCGACTCAGCGTGTCGTCCTAATCAAGAGTATGGGGTCTGCCAAATAGAAATAATTATAAGCGCAATTTGCAGGGGGTGCAGGGTATCTCCTAGTCGGGTATACTCGACTAGCGCTTGCTGTTTTGGAACCTAGGCCTCATGTAGTGCATCGAATGCAACAAGACATTATTCATAGAGAAAAGGAAGTAAAAAGCTTAGCAAGTCATCATTACTCGGTTGTGTCTGTGGCTGGGCCAGGTCGTCCAGCCATCACGGGTTAATTAAAGCTGTAAACACAATTAGAATCTATCTTAGTTAAGCTCAATTTCCTGTCTTCATTTCGAATCATAAAGCCTTGTTTAATATGCTATAAATCAAATGCTGAAACTCGATACTTGCACCTGCCGAAGATGCTACATAATTACTAAGCCTCAATTCTTAAACTGTACCCTCTCTCCCTCTCTCTCTCTCTTTCTCTCTTTCTCTCTCTTTATTTGCATGCCCGCCTATACATCGTTCAGTGGTGGTCGTTAACCAGCAAATGCGCTCGACCACAAACCTATTGATTATAAACCTGGCCGTCTCGGACATACTCTTCGTCATCTTCTGCGTGCCGTTCACGGCCACCGACTATGTGCTGCCGGAGTGGCCATTTGGCAATTTGTGGTGCAAATTTGTGCAGTACATGATTGTGGTCACATGCCACTGCAGGTGAGTTGCCCTGGTTGTTCGGCAGGCGCATTACGACTTGTACTTTCCTGCCTTGCAGCGTCTACACTCTCGTCCTGATGTCCTTCGATCGCTTCCTGGCCGTCGTGCATCCCGTCACCAGCATGTCCCTACGCACCGAACGCAATGCCACTCTGTAAGTAACCAACCCCCACTCCAGTTCATATGGCACTTGTAACTGCGCCAATTAGTTCGGGCCTGCCCAGCAGAACCTGGCTCCCTCTGGCTAAGAGCCCATACATAATTATACTTATCAGATTCATAACCAGCCAGCCGACTATGCTTAACACGTTCACTTCAAATCTAATTCACATGCTTTGATGGGCTTAGTTTTTCCGATTGCTTTTCCATTCGAATCTAATTGAGCAACAATCTCCCTCCAGTTGGCTTCGACTGGAGGCTCTCATGGCTGCCCCACAACGAAACTATTTTGCAACAAATTTATGCAAATTTGATTTTGCTGCCTGCGCAGGCCGACATGCATTAAGCTGGAGTTAGAATTTAAGAAAACAACTAATTGGACATCAATTATCTGAGACATTTGCCTTCATTTGTTTCGTTGACACACACAGCGCCATTATGTGTGCCTGGATAACGA